ATTTACGAAGCCAGAAAACAACTTCTTGGCTTGGAGGAGCCAAGAGTTAATGCTGAAATACCAACCACTTATCACATTCCAAATGCTGGCAATATTTTTCAAGGAAACGCCACGAATGGTAACGGTAAGGCGTTATTGCAACATTGTTGAAAACATATTTCACAATTTTTGAAGTACTTAATGCTTTTACAAAGCGCGTAAGAAATATAGATATCGATAAATATTACATTCTTTCATGGAGTTTGGTGTCAGCATTTATCATAATTTAATAATATAACGTATTACCGAGGAATTTATTTCTTTTCTTTTTTTTAATTTTATTCTTTTTTTTTCACTTTCTCTCTCTCTCTCTCTCTCTCTCTCTCTCTCTCTCTCTCTCTCTCTCTCTCTCTCTCTTTCTTTCTCTTTCTCTCTCTCTGTCAATTAACAGGTACGAATGCTATCAATTGTGGTATACCGGAGAGTTTGTCGAACATGTTGACCGTGAACACACAGAATTTACCATGCTGTGTTTCTCCAATGTCACATTCACCTAATCCAATGGGACTTTCGCCACATTGGAGTTTACCACCAATTCCGTCCATGTTTTCATCGTTACCAATTCATCATCCATATCCTTACGGGCATTTAAATCATCTGTTAACGACGCAGCACATGATGCACAACAACATGATGGCCCATTCTCACGGAATATCGAATCATATCCTGAATGATATTGGACAAATTCATCCTACTTTATCGACAGGCTTGCATGGAATTCATGGAATGGCAAATAGTTTGTCGGATAGCAAGGAAGGCAGTGGTTAGTAAAAAATTTTTATTTATTTTCTTTATTTATTTATCATTTTTTTTTTCTTCGTTCGTACAAATAAATAAACAAATTGTGAAAATTTCTTTACAGCTTATTCCTCATTGAGTAGCGTTTCAAGCTCTTTGTCTAGTCCAGCTATTAGCCCTAGAAATTTATCACCGGTGAATCCAACAGTGACTAATCCTAATTTAGGTAAATATTAAATATCTTTTTTAATTGAAATAAAGAAAAGAAGAAGAAGAAGAAGGAGAAGAAGAAGAAGATGAAAAAGATATGTACATATGTGCATATACATATATACAATATAATAATCTCTTCTTGAGTGAATGAAATATTTTGTTTATTTTCGTTAGACTTGTCGAGTATGCTATCAGATCTCTCGGTGTCCGATCGTCGAGCACCAGGCTGTGAAAAGAAATCGTTAGAGATGGCCGCCCAACAGAATCTTACGCCTTCCGATTACGAGCAGAAGAAGATGATGGCCGTTCTAGCTGTACAAAATAAACCAAACACTTCGGAGTATCGAGTACCAACGTCGACTTGGTCAGGTTATGGCCTGAGTCAGACTATTGCTCCGTTATCATCGACTGAACTGAACAAGGTGATTTTTTTTTTATTTTTTTTTTTTTTCTAGAGCTATCATTTCGAAGAATCAGTATCGGAGAATAATATCAAAATTGTTTTTAATGTTCTACACAATTGAAACAGTATAAAGTCCAACATTTTCTTTAGCTTTTATCACTTCGAAGATGTGTATCGGACGATAATTTTTATTTTATTTTATTTTATTTTTCATTTTATTTTACTTTTTCTTTTTTTTTTTTTTTTTTTTTTCTTTTTTCTTTTTTTTTCTTTTCTTCATCCTCCTTTCTCCAAACGCAGGAGTTGTCTTCATCTGATCCATTCTACTTATGGGAAGAACCAATGACACCTGTGTTAAATACAAACATGGACTTTGGTATCGGCTCGAGTAAAGATCGAATTGGTCAAATCGGTTCTACTTCGAATTACATGGATCACACACCGACCTCGCATTTAAAAAAGATAACATCCCAACGATATACCGATCTTGCTAGTATGTTAACAAGCGTTGGCCTTGAGAAATATAATCGTAAGTAATATTTTCTTTTTTTTTTTTTTTTTCTTTGTCTTTTTTCTCATTTTTTTCCTATATACGTACATGTATATGTTACGTTGGAAAATGAACACACGCTTCAAATGCATGCTTTGCATCGTATCGATGGAAATAAATAAAAAGGAAAAAAAGAATATATATATATATATATATATATATATATATATATATATAAAACAAAACAAAAAAAATATGCTTTTGGGCTTAAACGATCTTCAAACGGTCTTCTTTTATCGTCAGGCCTGTTCACGTCGCACGAAGTGGACATGGCTACGTTTCCATCACTGACGGAAAAGGACCTCTGCGAGATCGGAATAAGTGCTTGGGGTGCAAGACGTAAAATAATGCTATTGATTTCGGGTACGTAAAGCTTTATCATCAGGAGTATGCAACAAACACAATATCCCCGAATTTTTCTTAATACATATGAAATTCATTTAAAAAATAATCTAGAAAAATAATTCAATATCCTCTATAACGCTTTAATCTTATTTTTATTTATTCATTATTTTTTTTTTTTTTTTTTTTTTTTTATTATGATCTACAAGATAATTATATAACGTGAGAGTTATGATAACAGTTTATACATTACTGTATAATTTGATAAATAATATTTTAAAGATATTGAAAACTTTGGATATTCGAAGCGACGATTAAATTTGCGAGGATAAATCGATAAGATATTGATGGTCGATTGATGTTATAGAGGGTTAACCACAAATAACAAACATATATATATATATATATGTAATATCTATTCTCTTTTCAGAAATGAACAAACGAAGTAATCCATTTAGCGGTAGCGCTGCACCAGGTGCGGAACGAAAAGCAACCGCATCGACAGCGGCGGCATCCACGTCTCTCGAGAAATGCACGCTCGATACCAAATGGTAAAGGAAGATGCAACAAGTGAAGTATATAAATGAAAGGAAAAAAAAAAGAAAAGGGAAAAAGAAAAAAAAAAGAAAGAAAGAAGGAAAGAAAACAAAACTATGTAACACAGGTAACACAAGTAACGCGGACGTCATACGTAAACGACAATAATCGTATGCGTCGAGAAAACGACCCGGAATTATGAGACAGGGTAAAAATCAAATAGGGAAAATGAAAAAAAAAAAAAAAAAAAAAAAGAAAATATAATGAAAGAAACAGAATAATAATATTGCAAATACGAACATAGAAGTGAAAATATTTACGAGGAAAAATTCAATTCGAACGGACATGATTCGTCGTTATTTGAATTACAACGATGGGGATTAAATTCGATCATGTTAGGTATCCTCCTAGTTCGTAAAATGATACAATTTCAAGAAGACGAATCTATCCGACTCGGCGGAGAAGAGTACTCTGACCGAAAGTAGTTACGAAGAAAAAGAAAAGAAAAGAAAAGAAAGAACGGGGATTGAAAAATACGAAACGAAAAGAAAACTTATATAACAAGAATAATAATAATAATAATAGTAATAATAATATTAATATTAATATCGTCGAAACGACTCAACGAACTTGACAACGAGTATGGAAAGGAAAAAGAAAAGAAAAGAAAAGAAAAGAAAAGAAAAGAAAAGAAAAGAAAAAAAAAATAAAATAAATAAATCATTTTGCATGTTTATTGTAATTTCGTATTTCGTCTAAATGGTACCGGGAGAATAGGCTGATGATTTATTATTTTTGCGTGCGCGAGAGAAATGTTTTGGCCAGAAAAAAAGTCCTCTGAAGAAGAAAAAAAAAAAATAATCCCTACTCCCCCTAAAAAAAAAAAAAACAAAAAACAAAACAAAAGAAAACAAAAAAAAACAAAAAAAAATAACTTCCTTCTCCCGCCCACATCCTCCACTTTCCCTCGTGCATCTCAATTCGTCCCTTTCCTCTCACCTTTCCCCCCCCCCATCCCTCTTTATTTTGCTTTTTTTTCTCGCCATTTTCTCGGAGCACGTGCCCCGACGGTGCCTCTTTAGGATTAGGTAGATGAAATGATCGTTATATAATAATTTTTTTTTTTGTTTAATTCACTATTATCTTATTTTCTCCTTTTTTTTTTTTTGATTGTTATTGGCGGTCTCCGTCGAATCGAACGATACTCCGCGAGATCGAGATGATCGTTCGATTCGTACGCGTTTGTCGTGTGATCGGGAAAGAAAAAAAAAAAATGCGCGCGTCGAGTCTTACGTGTGCATGTACGTATGTACAATGTGTGAATGTGTAGATATGGGAGTGTGTGTGTGTGTGTGTGTTGTGCGTGTGCTTGTGGGTATGCATGCGCGCGCAATATATATATATATATAAGGTGGAAGATTTTTTTTTGCAAAGTGCAATGGGTGATGATGATGATGATGATGATGAGTTAGAAAGAAAGAAAGAGAGAAAGAAAGAAAGAAAGAAAAGAATAATAGGTCCAGGGGAAAAAGAAATTATACAAATTTATATCATATTACAACATACATACATATATATATATATATGTTTGTCTATATATATATATATATATGTATTATGTATGTATACATATAAATAGAAAATAATGAATTCAAGCCCAAGAAAACGTCGAAACTATGACGATCGGGTATTAAATTAAAATAAAAAACAAAAAAAAAAGAAAAACAAACAAACAAACAAACAAAACAAAAGAAACAAAAAAAATAACAAAATTTGCGAGGCTTCCGAATAATTTTTTTCTTCTTGCTCGCTTAATCGATGCTGGCGGAAGGTGTTAAACTATCATTTTCTTTCTTTAAATATTTTTTCTTTTTTTCTTTTTCCCTCCTCCCCAAACTTTTTTTTCTCTCTATATATAATATTTCTTTCTTTCTTCTCTCTCTCTCTCTCTCTCTCTCTTTCTCTCTCTCTTTGTCTCTCCCTATCCATTTATCTTCTTTTTTCTCAATACGTCCAGCGGTCTTTCGTTGCAGCGAAGCTGTAGAAAAAAAAAAAAAAAAAAAAAAAAAGGAAAAAAAAAAGAAGAAAAGAAAAAAAAAAGATATTTAATTCAGACTAAGCTCGAAGCAAGCGCGAAAGCACTTCTTCCCGACGATCGTTATCGATTTCAACAATATTTTTGCACAATTTTTATCTTTCCCTCTCTTTGTCTTTCTCTTTTTTTTTTTTTTTTATTTTTTCAAAAAATTGAAACAAAAAAGAAATAAAAAAAGAGACAGACGAAAATGATAATAGCGAGATTCAACGATATGGAATAATGTGATCGCGATCGAGGAAGCTTTTTCCTTTTTTTTTTTTTTTTCGTTTCATTTCTTTTTTCTCTCCTCATTTTTTCCAAGCTTCTCGATCGTCGAAGTATCTGAGATGCTCTTTCTTTCTTTCTTTCTTTCTTTTTTTTTTTCTTCTTTTTTTCACTCTTTTTTTCGATCGTCGAGACGAATCGCGACATTACGCTCTTTCGAGTTTTACAATGTAACAAAGTATTTATTATTCGCACGCGAAAGATGCTGGATTTGCAAACCAACCCGACGATCTTCCGAGAAATCTTACCTTCTCTCTCTCTCTCTCTCCTCTCTCTCCTCTCTCTCTCTCTCTCTCTCTCTTTGTGTCTCTCTCTCTCTCTCTCTCTTTCTTCCTCTCAATCTTTTCTTTCATATCGATCGATCGTAAATATCGAAAGAGATTTTCGATCATCAATCGAAAAAGATTGTATTACAATGATGATCCTATCCTTCCGAGCATCAGAAATAATTATTTTGCGAATTTTCAAGTATTGATAATTTAAAATCGATCAAATGGATTGATCGATCAATCGATCGATCGATTTTAAAGGGACAATTAGTTAATCGATAATTTCATTGTTAGAAAACGTTGATAAGTTAAAGAGAGAACTACGAGAGTGAGCTTCCGAGGGTGAGAGGCACTCGTTTTTTTTCTTTCTTTCTTTCTTTCTTTCTTTTTTTTTCTTTTTTCTTTTTACCTCTTTCTCCTCCCAACCCACCCCCCCAAAACACCCCACCACCCACTTTCGTGATATCGTGCATGCCTAGCGGAATTACTTTGACTTAGCCTTTTCTGAAATTCTTTTAAGCGTAAATTATTGTTGTCCTTGCGCCGTGATCGCGTGCTTTTAAGGATTACCGATGGATTATTAAATGTAATTAAGGAAAAAAAGGAAGAAGAAAAAAAAAAAGAAAAGAAAAAAAAAGGGGAAGAAAAGGGGGCAAAAAAAAAAAAGTAAAGAAACGAAAAGAACGATGATAAAATTTATGTGCGGGAATGAAGCGGGAGTAGAGAAATAAAAAAAGTAAACGCGCTAAGAAACAACGTTGATGAGAGATAAAGACGAAAAAGAAAGAAAGAAACAAACAAACAAACAAACAAACAAACAAAAATAGAAGAAAACGAAAAAATGATAATAAAATCGAAATAGAATCTAGTATATATATATATATATAATATCTTTGTTATAAGAAATATATGTTATATATTATGTGTTCTCCACTGTGTGATATATATATATATAAATAGGACTGTCCGATCGTGTCTGTTCCTCCATGTGTTTGTTGTTACAATGAAACGCGCACTTCCTACGTTTATTATTTTGTCGATAATTAAAATATAATTCATTAGCGAATTATATCGACCCGAAGCGAAGCGTTAAGTTGTTCGCACGCACATATGTATATATATATATATATATATATATATATATATATATCGAATTTTTTTACGCGATAACTTCCCGCGTTCAAAAAGCATAACTTTAATGTCTCGAAATTGTTACAATAACAATAATTATCTACACATACGTATAACGACACATAAACACACGTATACACATACACGCACACGCACGTACACACGCACACGCACACTACAACACAAAAATTGTACCAGATGTTCCTATGTAATAATTTAACAAAAAAAGAAAAAAAAGAAAAAAAGAAACAAATATTCTATCTAAATTTTTTTAAAACGAAAAAAATCTCAATTAAATAATTATAATTTGTTTGAATCGTCGGGAAGTTTTGAATGATTATCAAAAATATTTTCTAATGGACAATTTTGCGACGCTTCGGGCGTGCATTCGCACGTACATAATATACATACCTACATATTTACATACGTATTCGTTCGTGATCACGATCGACGCTATTCTCTTGCTAAAATGCGTAACGATGTTATTAATTTGTATTATATAATGCACATTCCAACTTGACAACAGCTTCGATCGATCGATTCGTTGATATTTCTCTATATATATATATATACATAAATACCATAATAATGAAGGTGAAAGAAAAAAAAAAAATTTGTGCTTATTAATGTACTTTTCTCTGAAAAAAAAAAGAAAAAAAAAATTATTATCGTTCCCGAAGAATTTTTATTTTCTATTCGAAGGAACGTATCCGCCCGTCAAATAAAGACGTTGCAATTGAGCGAATAAATTCAACCGAATATTGTGTAATAATAATAATAATAATAATAATTATAATATTAATAATAATAATAATAATAAGAAGAAGAAGAAGAGTAAAAATATAAAAATAAGAATAATAATAATAATAATTATAGTTATAATAATAATGATGATGATGGTGGTGTTGATAATAATAATGATGATGATGATGATGATGATGATGATGATGATATGATAATAATGATAATGTTAAATGATAATATTGCGTACGAAGAAGAGGAAAGCGTTTTATAATAGTGCAGCATGATATTTTTATATGATAATCTAATATTTTGATAAGCAACGAGTATATCATATTGATCTATTATTATTGTTTGTTTCGGACGAAAACGCTAATCGATGCTCGAAGTCGAAATGTTGTATTGAAAATAAAATAAAGAAGATTTTGTATTGCTATTTTTTAATAAAAAGAAAAATATATAGATATACATCATAAAATCATTTTGTAATAATATTTAAGCATTAATGCCATTCATCAAACCCTAGATTTTATAATAATATCAAAATGCGAGTTTTTGTTTCCACATCATCTATATCAAATAGAAAATCCAGCGTTATTTTTCTTTTCTTCTTTTTTTTTTTTTCTAATTTACAATATAAAAGCAGTCTACCTTAGTATTAATATTATTACTACTACTAATACTGATATTGTAATAACAATATATAATATCAAAATATAATGATAAGTATAATTATAAAAAAACGAAATAGAAGAGAAATATATATATATATTCACTTTAACAATATAAAATGTATATGTGGAAACAGAGTATAATTAACATTTAAATTAATAATCGTGTAATAGTTTAAATATTACAAAGCTAATAACCTTAACATCCATTAAATATTAAAATTATTCGTATTATTATTAAATATTAAATCATTGTGTTAAGATAAATTTTAAAGAAAAAAGAAACTAAAACAAGTATATCAACGACATTTACGGTTTTTGAATTATTTATCTTTCGTATTTCGAAAAGTAAATCTAATCGCGGAGTTGAATAAATTAATATTTAAACAATAGTACATTCGCTTGAACGTTACAAAGCACAGAATACTCCTCAAATATAAAATAGTTTTTATTTAATATTTCAATACGATTAAAATTTGAATTTGAAGTCGTTACTTTCATCTAATATCAACATAAACAAACCTTTGATCGACTTTGACGATTAACGCATCAGTTTTATTCTGTATTCCGACGAGTAAACATCGAAGCTCTCTCTCTCTCTCTCTTTCTCTTTTTAAACGTGAATATTTGAAAGTTAATACTTGCGATAATTTTATATTTATTTAAATAATATGCGGAGTTGGATTAAATAATATTGAAACAATAGTACATTCGGTGCCTACAATCGGATGACGCTTATATGGTCAAATATTTTCTAAATAGTTATTAATTAATAATAATAATTAGTAGTATTAATATTGGATTAACTCTATTGAAATATACAATACAAATAATTGCCTTAATAAAATTGATCGAGAATAAAACTATATCGATATTACTGGCAGTCGATAAGACACGAATTTGATGATTGATAAAATGAGAATTATTTTTCTATCGATGATTAGTAAAATAGAAGATTATTATATCGACCATATTCGTTGTAAACTATTCCTAGAATTTGTGGAAACAAACTCGTGGATTGATCACTTGTAAAAATAATTTAATTAAATAATGGTGCAGCAGAATGGTAAAAACGTTCGTAAGTGAGTCTGTCGTCTAAGTCAAAAGAAGAATGAAAATAATCGCCATAATTGCCGTCACCGAAGTCATAAAAATTTCGGTCGTCAAGAACGTAGACGTAGTCCTCGCAATCAGGCGTCGAGAACATACAGAAGAAGAGGTAGAGTCGTAGGACGAAGAGGAGAAAAAGAAGAAGAAGTTGGTGGAGAAAAAAGAGTAAAGAACAATATTAATTGCATTAAGATATTAATTGTTAGAGTATAATATTAATTCTCTTAAAAATATATATTTTATAGTTCTTGATTTTTTAAATATTAAAGAAATAGAGTTATAAACAATAAATATTAATTTACTATGAATATAAAGTTGTAAATTTTCTAATATGAGGTATAAAATTGAAGTATAGATATAACAAAAAAAATACTTCTATTATTTACATTGTATTCTATCGTCAAAAGTACCGTAGACACTTAAAGTATCCAAGTCAAGTAAAACATTCTATATATACACATACACACATGTATGTATATATATATATATATATATATATATATAGTCACAGATTTGCATATTTACATATATACATTATATAAATGAATTTTTACATAATTATTGAAAGATATTTTATCTCTCATGACTTTAACAGCATCTTTCTAATTGTCTTAATTTTTTTAAATCTTTTCTTCTTGGACTTATTTTCTTTAGATTTATCTTGGCTTATATCCGTTGAATCTGTTGTAATATCTAATGTACTTAAATTATCCAGAGACGGCAAATAAGGAATGGTTTCATGACTTTCTTCTTTAGTTTCTTGTTTTAATGTTATTTTTAATAGTTCTTGCTCCTTTATATTTTCATTATGTAATGTATTTGAAACCTGGATGGAATCTCTTAATCGTCCCCAAAAATCATATAAACCGACTCGAGTATAATCAAGAATACACATATACCTAAGTTGAATCGGTAGTACACACTTTTTGTATAAACAAGGTATAATTTTCCTCTGACGTTTATCTATGGGATAAAATTTATGAATATCAAGAATGTATAAAACACTTTTATATAAATATATAAATATATATATATATATTTTTTTTTAACTTTTGATACCTACCAATGCTTACAGCTTGAGCATAATTCAAAAAAAACTCGTTTGCAGAACTCTTAAAAAAATTAGGAGATATTATTATGATCATTCTATTACAACGCTCTGATATAAGAGTCATCACAGCCTCATGTTCAAAACTAATACCTCCTATTAAATCTCGATCCTTTACACAAAGCTACAAATATTTCATAAAAAAGATTATAATATTATTTTATATTGTAATATAATTTTTAATATTATTGATCATTCTTACTTTTATGTTGAATTTTTCAAGCTGATCTATCATTTCATTTGCAAAGTCAATATCTTCATTTGCATATAATACAAAAGCATCATATCTCTGATTTTCTAAACCTTGTTTAATTCTATAAATATCATCTATAAAATGTAAAAGAAACGATATGATAATATATGATAAAATAGATAGAATATAATCTTAATACTAACCTACTGTTAATACTTTAGTATCGACATTTTCCTCGATCGCTTCAATTGTTACTTGAGATTTTTCCAAACATTCTAAATATTTTTTAATATCCTCATCTGTAATACAGATTATGTTTTATTTATATTTTAATTTATCTCGATTTTTATAATTTAAATTTATTTAGATTTTATATATTTTCTTATACTTATCGCATAGTATTAATACAAATTGGTATAGTATTGATATAGTTATAGTATAAGTACAAATATACCATGAAAATTACTTAACCGATAAATTGTTGAATATCATCAATAATATCCCATCTTTCTAGCGTAGATAACATATGTAGCAAGTTTGCAATATCATCATTACTTTTTCTTTTTATAACAGTGTTTAGAATAAACATAGTTTGGTCAGAATGAGATGATACCAAAGGTAGAAGCTCACCTTCTATATTTACTAAATGTGCTAGACCTCTCCAATCCCTATAACGCAACAATGATATAATGAATAATATTTACGACGTTAAAAAAAATGTAGATCTGATAAAATATTTCATTGTTCTTATAAAACGAAAAACGAAGTTAAAATAAAATAATGATTACCTGGGTAAACCATTATCGCATGGAAGATATTTTGTAGGATTTAATAGGTTAGAAATAGTATTTTTAGTTCTTATGGATAGGGCCGTTAATGGTACCATTGATAAATCCATCGTTATAATGATTAACGTTCACTTGTAAATAAACAAAAACTTAACAATATATCACGCTGTTAAATTCAGACAATTATATTCGACTTTATTCCCACTACGATTCTGGATATACACGTGACACGAATTATGTTTTATAATAAAATATATCGACCCGTTTCTAATCTAAACTAACCTCAACAACCACATTACTTTTTCCATTAGCATTATTATTTGATCTTTTCTTTTTTTTTTCCTCTCACAATCTGATAACGCTAAATTTAACTAGTAATTATTATTGAAAAAAAAAAAAAAAGAAAAAAGAGAAAAAAAGGAAAAATATAAATGAAAATAAGCGTATACACCTACAATAACTTCTACATCGTTCACGCGCGACTGAACTAATCTTATGGGCTACATGTTTTTATGTCGCACACAACCATTACTCTTCAGATATACTACTCGAAATGACTGTACCATTTGAAATGAACTTTTGTAAAATTAAGAAAAAGAGATACGAAGAAAATAATCTTTATATGTATATATAATATTTCTTTCTATTTATCTCTCGTAACGCATAATTTTTTATTTTTCAATACAATCTTTAATACTTTTTCCTTAAGAGTTGCTTGTGTTCAAAAATGAAAAAAAAAAAAAAAACAAATGAAGATTGCAATGTTTTTTTTTTTTTTCAATTTCTTGACTTATAAAAACAAAGCACTCGTAAGTACTTTTTAATCCAAAACAATATTATTTCTGTTGCTCTTTTATCCTATGAAAAAATACAATAAAAAAAAAAATCTATAATTTATAGTATTCTTTATATTACGCAAATAAATTTACATTTAAGTCGTAAAATATTGTTCTTGTAAAATATATCATTTTTACGTCCGACTCTTTGATTATAATTTTTATTATTATTATTATTATTATTATTATTATTATTATTATTATTATAATTGTATAAATGTTGTCCAAATGATCGTACTTGTCATAAGTTCTGTGAACATCCGCCATAGATAGAAATAATACGCAATATGACCACAACGTGTCGCAGTATATTCAATACCATTTTATGACATGAAGAAGCTTATATAAACGACTTCAAAGAATGAACGTTATCGCTTCTCGGCCTATGGCTAAGATCAAAGTGTAGTATCTGTTCTTATCAGCTTAATATCTGATACGCTGCTCATAGAGCAGCCAGAATATTAGCTAGATTTTTGGAATTTGGCGGAAGGCTGGAGCTTGCTCCGCCTCTGCCGGGGGTTGAGCCGGTATTGCAGTACCACCGGATTCAGCCCGTCATGATATAATTAAAAACAAAAATTCTCGAAAATATTTTTCCCCATAAAAAATATTAACATATAAAATACATTAATTATTTTTATTCGGAAGATCGAAGAAAAATCTTTTCCAAAACTTGCAAAATTAAAAAAAAAATTCAATAATCATTCTCTTGATTCTCACGTTCACCATACGTCACGTTTGTTAATGTTTTAACGTTTTATAACTGTGATTAGAATATATATTACTAACAAAAAACGATATCAAATAGGTAATGATGGTGCGGAAGAGAGAGAAGAAGAAGTTCAGGAAAAAATCCTTAAAGAAATATTAATTATTTATTCTAAAGATCTTTAAGAATTTAGAATTAAAAATTGTTGAAGTCACGAACAGAATAGGTTAGTAGAAGTACTACATCATATAAAAAAAAGGAACACAAAGATTGATCGAAGAGAAAACTTGGCTCGCGAATTAAATGGGAGCCACTCCTTTCAGGGAGAAGATAAGAAATAATAGAAAAAAAATAGACACTTTTTATTACCAATTAGTATCAACTAGTCACTGTGTTTTTAATTAAAGTCTATTTGTTAGTGCCATTTCTCGATTTATTGTTAATTTATTTCGTGGCACTCAATATTCGTAATAATAATAATAATGACAATATCATAAAATTTCATTAATATAGAATTATAAAGTAACTTAAATTATTTTCCAATAGAGAGAGAGAGAGAGAAAGAGAGAGAGAAAGAGAGAGAGAGAGAGAGAGAGAGAATATAAAATATTTTACATAATACATATCCTTCAACAATATTTTTCATTTAAATTTCTAACTTTTATTTTTTATTTGATAGTTTTATTTTTTAAACATAGAATCTTACGTTCTCTTCTAATAATTAATAAATTCGCGCTATTGTTTTAAAATTTATTTAAACGATTCTCATTGGACGAACGTATTCATCTGTGAGTCCTGTGAGAAGCTTGTAAAATGAGGACCAATCAGAGAACGATAACGAAGGACCAATCAATAAGCGAGATAGAAAAATAAGAAAGCAAGTACCATCGTCTAACGTTCTCAATGTTTCTTTTTATCTCACAGAATTTGTTTTTCTCACTGTGACAAATGTACATCCATATATATGTATATATACACACACACACACACACAGATATTTCTTCATATATTTTGAATTAAGGTAAATATATAAAATAATAAATATAATAGGAAACATCAAATTTTATCGTTATATGTAAAAAATGCTATGGTCATAGTTCGTTCGTGGATAAACAAAATAAATTTGTAATAATCGAGTTTTATATTATCTCTCTTATCATTCAATCATTTTTTTTTTTTTATAAAAACAAAAAGACATTCTCTTGTTTTACTTTCATTTGAAACTACTATCATTACTACCACATGCTACTACTATTAATACTACTACTACTAATATTGTAATAATAATGAGTATAATGATAAAAAAACGAAGTAAAAGAGAAATATATATATATATATATATATATATATATATATATATATTCACACAATATTAAAATTATTCGTATTATTATTAAATATTAAATCATTGTGTCAAGATAAATTTTAAAGAAAAAAGAAACAAAAACAAGTATATCAATGACATTTACGGTTTTTGAGTTATTTATCTTTTGTATTTCGAGAAGTAAATCTAATCGCGGAGTTGAATAAATTAATATTTAAACAATAGTACATTCGCTTGAACGTTACAAAGCACAGAATACTCCTCAAATATAAAATAGTTTTTATTTAATATTTCAATACGATTAAATTTTGAATTTGAAGTCGTTACTTTCATCTAATATCAACATAAACAAACCTTTGATCGACTTTAACGATTAACGCATCAGTTTTATTCTGTATTCCGACGAGTAAACATCGAAGCTTTCTCTCTCTCTCTCTCTCTCTCTTTCTCTTTTTAAACGTGAATATTTGAAAATTAATACTTGCGATAATTTTATATTTATTTAAATAATATGCGGAGTTGGATTAAATAATATTGAAACAATAGTACATTCGGTGCCTACAGTCGGATGACGCTTATATGGTCAAATGTTTTCTAAGTAGTTATTAATTAATAATAATAATTAGTAGTATTATTAATATTGGATTAACTCTATTGAAATATATAATACAAATAATTGCCTTAATAAAATTGATCGAGAATAAAATATATCGATATTACTGGCGGTCGATAAGACTCGAATTTAATGCTCGATAAAATGAAAATTATTTTTTTATCGATGATTAGTAAAACAAAAGACTATTATACAGATTCTATTATTCTTTGGATTTGTGGAAACGAATTCGTGAATTGATTATTGTAAAAATAATTTATGCATGGAATAGATTGAATTAATTAATTATGTATGTTTACTTTGATAAAATAAGATACCAACGAAGTGATTTCTGTCACTCAAACTCAATTATTATTATTATATACAATTTTAATTATGTCAAAAGGATATAACATAACAAGCTTATACAACCATTCAATAGTCGAATAATGAGGACAGTATTTCCTTATTATCTTTGTAGTTCATATTTTATTCATAGATGTCTCCCAAGTCATATATGCTACGAACGAAAGTTAATGAACATCTTTAATATATACAAAAATTCATATACGTAGTATCGTACAAATAATTTTTGGAAAAATCACTGCAAATTGTCATTCTCGAGTGGTGGATCAGGAACGGCAATATAATTTTTCATATCACAGTCATGTAATTCGGTATCACATTCTGGACAAAGAAATATCTTCATTGCAGTAAAATTTGCGCCCAAGCAGTAATAACAGAAAACGTGTTCACAACCAGCGTGCGTTGGTAAAATAGGTTTCTCCTTGCAGTAAGCACAGACAGTAGATTCATTCATAATTGGAAATGTTTTTTTAATTCCATCTTTCTTACTATGATACCAAAATCGTCTTATCTTTTGTTTTAAATAATGATAGTTTAACATAGGTATTCCCAATGTAAATAATTCCATTAAACCGTGCCAAAGAAGTTCTCTTGTCATATAAGAATATCCAATGGTTCTTGGCTTATGTCGATTTACAGAAACACTTGAAATGTTTAATAATCTTTCGATCAAAAGAGGTTGAGTTCCACGATGTAAAAAACTTATTAAATTTATCAATTCCAGCAAGTGTACCAAACTGATTAGCCACTGTACATAAATCTTCAACTTGTGCATTCTTTTATGATTTGATATTATACCATTATCAATTAATCTATCTTTAATATAATTTGGCAGGAGTTTAAAGGCTAAGTACAAAATAGATTTGAACTTATTTAAATTGTCATAACGAAGATCAAGCATCTGTTGTCCAAATGTATGATTCTTGTATCTCAAGGAAAAATTCCAAATGAGAATTTTAAGAATAACTTTGATCTCCGGTTGCCACTTATCCATTTTACCAGGTGGACAGAATTTAAAGATTTCTCTTATCTGATTTTCAAAAACTTTATTAATCTCATCATCTAGTGACATGGCATCTAGCTGATTTACTCTAGACACATAAGGAATAGATGACATCTTTCAATATCTAAAAGCTAGAAAATAATAATAGACATTTTACAATACTATTCTTTGCTATCATATTATAATAATATTAGAATTTATTAATATATACGTATAAAGCATTAAATAATTCCAAATAATTGCATGAAAGCGTATAACTTATTACATAATATGACAAATACAAAAAAAGGAAATTAAGGACAAACAAATATTAATATGACAATTGATATAATATAACTCTAACGTTTCAGAATATTTCTGTCGCACATAGAAGAAGAAAGTATAAAAAAAAAAGAAAAGAAAAAGAAATAAGCGTTATATTCAATTCTTAAAGTCAAAGTAATTTCACTTTGAAGTAAAATCACTTTGAAGGTTATGGCACTAGGCAAACAAAATAAAATAAAAAAGACAAAAGTAAACAACAAAAAAATAAGAAAGCAAAAAGAAGAAATATTTAAACAATACATTTCACTCACATTGATATACTTTTGTAGAAAAATGTCGAACTTTTACTTTTAAGTCACGTTAAACGAATCATTGAGAATTAAAAGTGCGTAGAAAACTGTTCAGTTTCGATCCGAATTTCGTGCCGTTGTGAGCTCTTTTTCTATTTTCTTTTCTTTGTATCGAGTTTCTAAGCGAAATTATAAAGTTAAATAAATGGAGGTGTTGCGAAAGGGTTAAAAAAAAATATTCAACAAAATTTAAATTATATATGTCATTTGTTTTCGCGCTTTCAAAAATTATCGAAACGAAGAGTAAGAGAGACAGAGAAAGTAAAAGAGAGAGAGGGAGAGAAAGAGAGAGAGGGAGAGAAAGAGAGAGAGAGAAAGAGAGAGAAGAGAGAGTGAGAGTGAGAGAGAGAGAGTGATAGAGGAAAGTTAGATAGGAGTAGGAATAGGAGTAAGAGAGAGGAGACAAAGCTGGCCGCGCCGTCGCGGGAACACCACCATCTTGGGCCGCTTGCGATGACGTCATCGAGTGTGTCGCTGGCAAAGAAGAGAGCGGTGGTGGTCTCGGTTCCTCTCTCTCACCCGTCCCTTCCATCGTGCTCGCCCCGAGAGATATCATGTTTTCGTGATAAAGTTTGACGTTTTAACGGTGCGGCAGAACGTTAAAAACGTTCGTAAGTGGGCCCGTCGTCCAAGTGAAAAGCAGGACGAAGACACCGCCATCATCGCCGTCAGCGAAGCCACGGAAGCTTCGGCCGTCAACGTAGACGTAGTCGCCGCAACCGCGTCGAGAATCCACGGAGGAAGAGGTAGAGGAGCAGGAGGAGGAAGAGGAGAGAAGGAGGTAGTGGAGGAGGTGGAGGAGGAGGAGGAGGTGGTAGTGGTGGTGGTGGTGTTGGTGGTGGTGCTGCTGCTGCTGCTGGTGAAGGTGGAGAAGGAAGAAGAGGAGGAGGTGGCGGTGGAGGTGGCGGCGGCGGAGGAGGAGGAGGAGGAGGAGGAGGTGAGTGTGTATGACGATGATAGAAATTACGTAATCTCGAAGCGTCAGAGATAGAGATAGAGAGTGATCGAGTGAGTGAGCCCTGTGCATGTGTTAAAAGAGAGAGAAAGAGAGAGAGAGAGAGAGAGAGAGAGAGAGAGAGAGAGAGAGAATTTTCCGCGAAGTCACTTTCCACGCGTGGAAACGTGCCGTAGCACGCGTAACATCGATCTGCCACACGACTCCGGTACGTCGCGTACGTGCGACTCGTGCGAATAATCTTCCTACTACGTATATCTTCTCTCGTCTGACAGGTTAACCTCAAATCTCAAGCGCACGCGGCGTTAACACACGCGTTTGCCTCGCCGCACTCGGCGCACCTGCGAACGCGTCAACACCCTTTTTTCACCTTTTCTACTTCTCTTTTTTCTTTCTTTTTATTCTCTCTTTCTCTCTTTCTCTCTCCCTCTCTTTTTCTTTCATTATCTATCTTTTTATCTCTCTCTCTATCTCTCTCTTTCTTTTTATTTAGTTGGCGCGCTTTCGCACGACCGATCATTCCAATCTAACCTCCAATCATATTCTCGAGAGACGTTGTGTGCCTCGTCGTGAAATTTCGGACATTTTCATAACTTCTTCCTTTCGATAAATCGATCTCTCTCTCTCTCTCTCTCTCTGTCTCTCTCTCTCTTTTTCTCCCTCTCTTTTTCTCTCTATCTCTCTTTTTATCTCTCTCTCTCTCTCTCTTTCTCTCTTTACTCGAAAGGACACGTGATTTTTCTTAAGAAGTTCACGACAGTTAGTTAGGACAAGGTATATAAAGTGTTTTATAAATTACGTCATAAAATACGCGATGAGAAGAAGAGTGTGGCTTGGACAGGAGGAAAGGTGGAAAGGAAAAGGAATCGAACACATGTTGGATTACGCAGTCATTACAATTCGATCGTGACGTATACATACATCCATACTTTTTCTTGTTTATTCTCTTTCTTTATTTTTTATTTATTTATTTTTTTTTTCTTTCGTTGCGTTTTTTCAAATCGTCATGTCGTCATCGTCGTGGCGCGTGGATAATGTTTAAGTGTGCTCGATTAACGCATGCCCGTTATCTCTTTCTCTCTCTCTCCCTCTTTCTCTCTCGCTTTCTCTCTCTCTCTCTCTCTCTCTCTTTTTCTCTCTCTCTCTCTCTCTCTCTCTCTCTCTCTCTCTCTCTCTGTCTCTCTCCTTCCTATTTTTTCTACTTCAAATACGAAGAGGTGTATGAAAAAAATAAAATAGTCCCGATAAGGAGAGACTGATAATACAGTCGATTGTGTGCTTCAATTTTAGTTCATTTTAACAATCGATATTTCGTTTTGTTTCGTTTCTTTTGTTTGTTTGTTCCTTACGATATAATTTATACATAACGAGGTATGACATTATTACGTATAACGAATTTAGAATAATTTGCGTTGTCGATAAAAAGAAAAGGAGAAAAGGCGAAAAGGAAATAAAACAAGGAACAAACGACGCGTGCAGAACAAAGCGTTTATTATAACCTTCGTTATAAAAGTTCTCTCTGAACTGTGTCAAAGTTATTACTATATTACACATACTCCGATTGTTTGTTTCTTTTAAGGTTAGGTGCTAGAAATCACAACGCCCTGAAGTTGTTGTGTATGTTTCGCGTGCGTTAGCTTCGTCAGTATTTACTACGTATTTACTTACATGCGTATGTACAACCATAAATATATCGACGTTGTCGCATTTTACGATCATTTTATATATATATATATATATATATATATATATATACACGATTTAGTTCGTTTAAATTAATTAACATCGTAAACTTCCTTTGGTTCGTAAAATTTAATATTAATTATATGAAACACTACATATGGTATATGAAATTTTCGATATATACTTTCAAGTTGTGAAAACATTACGAAATATTTTGAGGTTAGTTCATGCGAATAACATCTCTTTTCTATGGATATTAAAATTGATTATATTTATTCGATTGACGAATACAATTGACAATGATATGATATCGGTTCGTCGAACTCATAGGAGAAGTATGATGTTAGAAGAAAGTAAATATGAAAAATTAGAAAAACAAAAAAGAAAAAGCCAAAAAAAAAAAAAGAAATGTATTGGATGGATTATAAAAATTGGGCAAAATTTTTGGTGAAAAAAGATTGGTATGAAAAGTCGGAATGTGGTATGCGGGACCATTAGATCGAATAGAAACGAAAAGGGTGCGTTACGTATTCCGCGCGCGTTTTCACCGATCCATACGCGTCCCACGTGCATCCACGTGCAACCCCCATACAACGTTCGATTGATATGGCGAAATGGTGAATGCCACCGGTCGAACGGCATTCCTTTTCATTTGCATCACTTTGATTCGCCGACGACGCTATAGTAATCGTCACCTTTATTGCTCTTCCCATCATCATCATCATCATCATCATCATCATCGTCATCGTTATCGTCATCTGTCGAAGTTTTGTTCGAAATATTGACGAAAATTCGTCTACAATTTTGTATGTCATTTATGTACATATAATATTATTTTTTACGAAAGATTTTCTTCGAATTTGATTTAACAATTTTTTTTTTGTTTAAGATCAATTTCGGTCGAAAATAAATATCGTATTTATAAAATAATTTATAATAGTTGGAACAAAAAGGACAAATCTATATTTAATCGGTTTATTTTTGTTACGTTTTATCGTGTATTAAATTGGAAAAAAAAACGAAGGACAATAAAAAATGTATGCTCTATGATTTGATTAAGATTCAATTAGGTTCATCGAGAAGCTAACTGTTATATCATTATATGCATTGTTATATTATTTATTTCGAAAGATTTTCTTTGAATTTGTTCAAACAATTTTTGTCCGTTCTTTTTCTTTTTTTTTTCTTCTTTTCTTTTTTGTTGTTGTTCGTTTCTCTTCAAGATCAATTTCGGTCGAAAATAAAAATCGTATTTATAAAAGTAACTTATACTGGTTCGAACAAAAAGGACAAATCTATATTTAATCGATTTATTTTTGTTACATTTTATCGAGTATTAAATTAAAAAAAAAAGAAAAAAAAAAAAAAAATAAAGAACGTAAAAAGAAAAAAAAAGGAAAAAGAAAAAGAAAAAGAAAAAAGAAACAAAATGGAAGCTTCTTTTGATTTGACTAGGACTCAGTTGGATTCGGCAAAAAGAGGTATTTCTCCTTTTTCACGTGATCTTAATTTACGAGAGTCCTCGCTTTAACTCTTGTCACCAAGCATCGTTATTTATCGATGTCCCCTAAATCCGTCCGCGGCCGCATGCTTACGCGAATTTCGTTCGTTATTTTTCCATTCGATATTATTACACCATTCTTCAATCCACCGTTTCGATAAATCACTCAAAGAGTTATTCCTACCTAATAACGAACGTCGAACGCGCGTGAGACGAGAATAGAAGAAGAAAAAAAAAAAAAACAAAGAAAAAAAAGAAAAGAGAAAAAAGAAAAAAAAGAAGAAAAAAATTCATACCTTACTTTTAATCGATACTTTTTATTTTCTATTTTATTTATAAACACTATTTACCTATCATATTTGCTTATCTCAAGATGATCCCGCAATATCGACATATTTATATGCTTAATATAAATACGTAACTTAAATATATACAAATATTGCTCGCTAATGTAGGCGAAGTCGATGGATTAATTAATATTTTCTTTTTTCTCTTTTGTTTTCTGTCTATTATTTTTATTTTTGTTTTTATTTTCTTTTTATTTTTATCTTTACTCGCAACGTTTGCCCGCGAATCGATAGATCAATATTTTGATCCGTCGAATGCAAAAGCTTTTTTTTTTATTTTTTTTATTTATTTTTTTTTTTTATTTTTTACCGAGGAATTAACGAAAAAAAAGGGAAGAAGAAAAAAAATAAATAAATAACCCGACATCGAGCGGATAAAAAAACAACCAGAGAGAGATCGGGGAAGGGTGAACGTATGTGATGGGGAGCAGGGGGAGGGAAGTAATAAAAGAAAGAAATGTTAATAAAAAATAAAAAGAAAAAATAAAAGAAAAAAAAAAAAAAAGAAAAGACAAAACGGTAGGAAAAGAGAAAAATTAAATTGTAGAATTCCTCTAAAGGCAATGGTTTCGTCCTTTGAGAATCAACTATGAACCTGGTTTACTCGATAAATATCGTACACTTGGTTCAATATCATCGATCTCATATATAGGATATATCACGATCGTTTGTGAGTCAATATAATTTCGAGATAAATTTGTTAGCAAAAAAAAAAACGAAAGGGAGAAAGAAAGAAAGAAAGGAAAAAAGAAAAAGAATGGAGCGGGAAAAAAAACCAATAGAGTTCAAGCGACAGGCAAAGAATATAAATGTGGTATATAAGGTAATAGTGGGTATGTAAAAGTTTTCAATAGAAATATTATAGAGATATTTTAATCGGAAATCTAACGTATTCTTGTTTCTTATCGCATTAGAAAAATGAGAGAGAGAGAGAGAGAACTAGAGTTAGAAATAGAAATAGAAAAGGTAAAGAAGCTTTGTTGTGGTTCCATCAAAGTACATTGTTTATATATCTAGTAGTTGCCTCGAAGATGTTTTGATGTAAACTCAGGTAGTATAACTTGTGCTTTGGAAGGAAGGAAGGAAGGAAGGAAGGAAGGAAGCAAGCGGGTTGGAGTGAGGGAGAGAGGGGTGGTGGAAGGGGTGAGAGATAGAGAGAGAGAGAGAAGTGGTCGAAGTCAAGGGTAGTTGGGACACGACTTCCGAGAAGTAAAGACATTAGCGAAATAATATCTTTTCTGTATTGTTAGTACTTGACAGAAAACGAAGGAACGAACGAAATAACGAAATAGAAAAATAAAGAAGAAACGAACAAATGTTAATAATAATAAGCTTGATATATTTGATATATATATATATATTATTCGTGAATTTAAAATGATTAATTAATATAATATCAAAGTGGATAGTGAGTGTCATAAAGATGAAATGATGACGATGATAATAACGATGGATAATCGAAGATATTTTCGTCCAGTGATTGATTTTTATTATATATGGACAAATAAAAATGAGTGAGTAATAAGAAATCATATATATATATATATATATATATATAACATTATTTTTATTTGAATTTATTTATTTATTATTACAATATAAATATATAAATCTGTTTACATATATTCTATAGATCTTTTATCATTTGATTATTGTATAATATTATAGTCTGCACTTTGGAACAGTTAGATTATCCAATTGTAGGAGCTTCAAAGGAGTCTAACAGGCAACATAGTACATAATATGTAGTTTAACGCATCCATCTCTCTCTCTCTCTCTCTCTCTCTCTCTCTCTCTCTCTCTCTCTCTCTCTCTCTCTCTCTCTCTCTCTCTCTCTCTTCGTCTCTTGAGATAATGATTTTATCCTAGAATATCCAGCCTATATCGTAGGTATTAATATCCATTTGACTGGGATAGCTTTGAAATGCTTACGTAATCGTGTTATCGTCGATATCGGACGATGTAGCACATTTTCACGAGGTAAACGTCGATCGTCGTCCTGGTTCGCCGACCGAGCATGGCAGACGGTTTAACTTGTGTTAACGTTACCCATAACGCGTGTTTACACGAGAGCACGCATGTGCTCTTTCTCTCTCTTTCTCTCTCTCTCTCCCCCCCTCTCTCTGTCTCTATCTCTCTGTCTCTCTTTTCGATCGATTCGCGTTGTCATTCGTTCCTCGTTATTATCATTAGCGGCACGCTTCATGCCTCATTTATCCATCTTTGTATCAAACCGCGACCCT